ACTTCAACATTAATAGACATGTCATAATTAACAAGATGGGCCAAATAGAATTTAAAAAAAAGATGTGGTATGATTGTCAATGAGACAATTATCCACTAGAGTTCAAATTAAGAAGATATCAGCAATTATAGGTCAAATCTTGACCTTTATACTACTAGCTTGCAATGCATGCATGAAGCAAACTTATTTATAACTTTATGCTAAACTTAATAAAAATAAACTGAAAGAACTTGTAACTTTTGAAGTGTTTTGTTATCTATCAAATAATAATTATTATAAATGATGATAAACAATTACGTTACTTGAATACAAATACAGACATCGTTCTTTTATTTTGGACAGTTTTGTTAATCCATCACGATTTTAACAAGAATGTATTTCATTTCTCGTAACATCAATTTTACCTTGTATTTTGTTTAAGGCCAGACTTGTTAAATACTAAAATTAATATTTCTGTGTCATACTTTAGTTTATGCTACACTGATTTTTTTCTTCTTACCTTTTGGTAAAAGAAGTGTGGCAGACTAAATTAAATTTAGAATGATTCAGCAAAACGTCTTGTCATAAATAGCTAATCAACCTTGAATACATATAATTCAATATCAATAAACATCATCGAGGCGGAAGCGAATAATGTTTGCAATCAAATCAAACGAAAAATAAAAAAAATAAATAAATTGCATTTTTACGTCACAATGAACAATTGATGCTTTATCTAAGGTTGTAATTTGGGTGGTTTTTTTATTCATTGTCATATTTTCATTCTGCATTTCCCGTTGTATTTTGACTTGCAGTGTGTATTTGAATAAACTCTATTGTTATTTCCCCCAAAACAAAAAAAAAATAGATATTTTTTAGGAGAAATGATTCATATTATATCGTAAGATCAAAATAGGTGTTCGCAGCTAATAAATGTTATTTTGCTGATATTGTATGTCGGAATTAGATAACACTGACGTCACTCACTATTGGAACATGACATTTCTAGTAAATCAATACATACGAAGCCTCCATAAAATAGTTTTGATAAATAATTATGAAATGCATCTCATTTATTGAAGATGCATGTAGCCGTTAGTAAGGGGACACATTAATATATTGAAGGACGTAAGATAAAGGTACATAAAATGAGTTTTAGGTACTAACTTTTTAACTTGGTACAGTAAAAGGGAATTTTCTGGTACCCTTGTTTGATGGGTTACAGAAAAAATTAAAACAACATTCTTGTTGTATGAATACGATGTATTTCTAAGTTTGTCAAATTATTTATGTTATACAACTTTATATTTCTTTTTATTCGTGTAAATCATTATATAATGTTTGTCAATAGCAATTACGAAAATAAGCCATAAATCATAAGCAGAGTTCACCGGTACTTTCAATACCTATTCTGTTATATGTTTTGTGTTTATCTTTTTAATGTCTGAACATTTTACATGGTGTTCGTGTACCTTAATATTTGCCTTTCTCTTCAATGTTCTGTAGAGTCTTGTCAGTCTTTTTACGTGTCCTTCTTCGACCTATGATTTTAAATGCCGCTTGGCATCTCATTGAAAACAATAAAAGTAAGGATAAGTTTCAGTACACAACACATGTTTCTGGAATGACCTTCACCAGGTACGCTCCAGGTTTAAATGTATGCTACGTAACATATAGTTTGGTGAAGCGACTAAGACCATGCAGAGACAACTATTCACTCTACTTGAATTATTAAGTAAACATTTTCAAGAATGTGGGATTTCATATATACATATATGTGGACATGTCAAACTAATTAAAACATGTGGTTATAACTGAATGAAACCACACTACAAAATCAACTGTATGCCATTGTTAATACAAAGGTTAATTGAAATAAAGCACATATGTTTATACTAGCAGACTAAATTTATAAAAGTACTTTGCATACATATGTGTACACTTTTTTCACAGTTACCTGTAAATTTAGCCTGGGTGAAAAATTCCTATTAATTAGTACGACTTGGTAGATTGTGATTTATAACGTGTTAATATACTAACAACATGCTAATACAAAAGGCTATGAAAGCCACATAAATTCATAACAGTAATGAATACACTATTAGAAAAGAGATACGTTACAACCACTTGTAAGTTAAAGTTTACAAAATTGTCTAATACGAACAAGCATATTTTATAATTATTCGGTATACTTTTGTTAATTAAAGAAATGTTTGTTCTGTAAAGTACTTCGTTATTCTAAGAGAAGAAAAGTTTATCTACAATATAAGTATACAACTATTGTTACTGAAGAATTTTGACATAAAATATGCATTCGAACAATTATTAAAATATGAATTTGGTAACATTCGTGATTGCATCATCATAATCTATAAATACAATGTGCAACAGTAATAATAATTATTGTTTTGTTTGAATTTTCCTTTCGGAGCATTCTTTTTGTAGTCATGTCTACGTACCATCGTAAACATATAATAAATTATATAACATAAAACCTATTTATTACAATTGTTTTCGAATGTGCACAAGAAATACATTGATATTTCCTATCAGTATGTTTGTATGTTTTTTTTTCTGTTAAAGAGTATACATCCCAAAAGTTATTCATGTATAATTTATGTTGTATCACATGACACCTATCTTTGTAATTAATGTGTGGTATATGAAAGATCAATGATGTCATCAAAACAAAAGACAATAAATATCCCACAATTATACCTGGTGTTATGATAGATGACTTAACAGACTATAATACCTGCAGTGCACGTATGCAAAAAGTCAACTTTAATACATACAATCGACAGAGTGTTTACGCAACTAATTCGTTGATTGACGCTTGCTTTACACCACCTAAGCCAAAGAGATTATAGTTATATCATTCTATTTTTTGAAAGTAAGGAGGCACTTTTTTAATTATCACATGCTGCTTACCAAAGTTTTTATGCGCAATCTACGAAAGAAGAGGGTCACTATATTTTACAGTATGTGCGTCCGTCCGTCCGTCCGTCCCATATCAGGTTCAGAATTTTTTTTAAGGTATGTTAAGATAGTTTTGTATCACATCATCTTGAAACTTAGTACAAATGCTCATTTTAGGTTTTGACCAAGATTGCACGGATCAAGATTATGGAAATGTGATTTATGTAGTGCGAGCGGGGCATTGGGTCAATGGTCATATATTCTTGTTTCTCCAACATTTCCGTGTGTTTACACAGATGCGAAATTATTTAGGTACACTTGTATTTCTTTCATATGGTGTATTGCTACACATGCCATCCCCCGTGATTGAAAACTGTATTCGTTTAATAAGCACACCTACCTAAGGTTGGCTTTCATCAAGCTGAAGCCCCTTGTAACCTGGTTGAAGAAAGAAAATCTGAATTTAACAAAAATACGTCACTGTGTATTAGTTTTGAACACATTCTCATTTGCTTTGATATTGTCATTTTCAATTTCATTTGTTACTGTTTTTAGTCTGATTTTACAATATATATCTGAATTCAGTGTCATGAGTCCTTCTTTTTGTTTTTTTTAATATTTAAACATTCTGACGTAAACATTAGACACAGATTTAAAAAGACATCGCTATGTAGAAACGACTATTTCTACTAGTTTAGAATTGGTGTTTTGATTCTAACTGTATTTCACCTTTTAAAATTTTCATTTCATCTTGATTTTTACTTTCCCGTGACAATATCTAGTTTATGTATTTATATTATTTATGTATAGTATTTTCTGTTGCACACCAACTGTTTTCTTAAGATATATATTGGGTTACGACATTGATAGTAGAAATCAATAATGAAAATAATAGTTTTCATTCCGGGAACTGTTGACTTCATAAACATTTTATGAATTTGTTGGATTTAAAAAAAAAATCACAAACCAACACCTCATGCAAATACCTCTCCTTTCAATGTTATTTTGCAGTGTCATTACCTTATTCCTGGAGTCATGATGACATGGACTTATCCTTAAAATTCCCCTTTGAAATGTGGTAAATTTCCCGATACATCTTTACATACCGTACTTTGTCTTCAAGGCGTGTGGTCAGTTTTTGTAGGACAATAAACTGTAATTTTTGATATATTATATAATGCGTTGCTAATTTTGCACGATTTATTATTTCGTGTCCGTGGTTAGTTATTTTCCAATCAATAATAACATTTAGACCGCATGCTTTGAAGAGAATCCCCTCAGTCGATTTGGCGTAGACTACTAGAGTATGTTCAAATTTGTCTTTGGAAAGTTAAAAATGAATGAGCTTTGCCCTCGCTATGTTGAATGTAAGTATTGCTTGCATTATTGATATGAACAACTACTTGACACATCCTTGGCAAATGAAATATTGATAATAGCTTTTGTAAGGCTGAAAAATTAATGAATGTTTATGTCATACAAGTCTACATTACATCTGCTTACCCTTCCGGAGCACCTGAGATCACCCCCAGTTTTTGGTGGGGTTCGTGTTGCTTAGTCTTTAGTTTTCTATGTTGTGTCATCTGTACTATTATTTGTCTGTTTGTCTTTTTATTTTTGGCCATGGCGTTGTCAGTTTGTTTTCGATCTATGAGTTTGACTGTCCCTCTGGTATCTTTCGTCCCTCTTTTACATACTGTTCACTAATGAACGATTCTATACTTTCATCTATTGAGTTTATAAATTACGAAACTTTTAAAGACTTCATTATATTCATTGAAGACGTAAAACAACAAAATTTTGAGACTTATGTCAAATTCATTGAAACTAGAAAAAATGCTATGAAGACCTTACATTTTGTTTTGTTCTGTATTCAGTACACTATATATAAAACACAAAAACAATCGAAAATGAGAATCGGCTTCCATTGTTTGCCAAATACGGGTCTCAAGATTTGAACTGTTTGGTTGCTTTATAGCAAAAAAAAAGTTTTGATTTGCACACACTTGACGTACGACAGGTATCTTTACAATACACAATAATAAATATGTGTGTGTCAAAAAATTTAATATCATTAAGAATGTGTTCATTTTATTTTACAGACGATGCCTTCACTTTATAAAATCTTATTTTTACTACTGGGACTTTTTCCATTATGTCGACTACAGTTTAGATCTACAAATTCCAATAATAATCTAAATGCTAGATTTGTGCAATGGATGAATGGACTATTTTATCTACCACCAGATGGACAATTACGTGTACGAAAGGAATATAGAACTTTAACAGACACAGAACGTAATGATTTTCACAGAGCTCTTGTTTTGTTAAAACGAGACAGAGTAAGTATATGATGACAGATTAAAGAAACTTACCATGTACTTTTAAAGAATAAGTCAAAATATTATCCAAGGGCAAATATACAATAAACTATACCAGATGTTCCTTTTAAAGAAAGATCATTTTAAGCATAAAGTCAGCCAAGGGGGATAATTAAACTGAATATCACTGCAAAACAACAAAAGTTTTCATATATTGTGAAAAAAAAATGGAGAATGGGTGCTCAATTTATCTTTTTATTTCTGAAAACGATTCATCTAAATAACGCCTCCTCACATTAAAAAGGTCTTTCTATTCCATGAAGGTGATAAATCTTTAAAAAAAAAATGCCTCCTCCCCAAAAAAGTTGTTTCCTGAAAGCGATTGATCGTACCTTACGCCCGTGTAGGTTTAGAAGACGGTAAATTGGGATAAATAATGCTTCCCACGAACCCTGTAAAACTGGTAAGGTCATACGAAAATCATCTAATTTGATGTGTCGGCGGCAAATTTTTGTAACTATTTCGAATAAACCTTGTGAAAGGGAAATTATCATACGAACTCATCGTAAAGAGGACGTGATCAAGTCCAGTGTTATCTTTAGGCCACAATTCTTTTGAGCGTTTTAACGACTCAACAAACATACCGTTACTTGTTGGAAATGTCTGGTAAATAAACATGTCGGTCAGAATGATTGATCACGTGATAACAAAACTACCAGAGAAAGAAAGTTTATTCTGTTTTAACAAATTTTTATACCGTTTAAACTTATATGATACGTATATATAGCAATAAAAAATCTATACAATATTAATACAAGGTTCCAGACGTCGAACGAAAATGTAAATACTCTCATTATAGATACCGGGCTTAAAATTTTGTACGCCAGACGCGCGTTTTGTCTACAAAAGATTCCTCCCTCAGTGACGCTCGTATAATAAAATTAAAAGGTCAAATAAAGTACGAAGTTGAAGATCATTAATGACCCGAAATTCCGAAAGGTTTTGTCAGATACTGCAAAGGTTCTCCATTCCTAGGGTTGAAATCCTTAGTCTTTCGAAAAAAGTTTTGTAAATAGTTCATTCATAATTATGACCATATCAATGATAATTCATGCCAACACAGAAGTGCTTAACGATCATGATACATGATCGGCCTACTGACCAAACATTGCAATATTAAAGTCAACATTGGAAGTGAAAATTATTATATTTTTGTAGTTTTTATGTATCGGATTATTACTATCGTCTGATTTGGACTGATTGTTTATTTTCGTCTAGTAGACTTTAATGCTTCCGAAATGTTTGCTGTTTCCGCCAAGTTTTACTGATAGATCATAAAATATCAATAATATCATGATATCTGTGGTTATAATAGTATAATAAAAGAAATTCCTGTGTCCTAAAAATAAAGCGAACGAACAGATAAAGAGGTGTAAGGTCGTTCAGATTCAAAGAAACTACTGAAATTACTTAGATAATAAGAATTACTTTTACAGACAGCAATTTTTGGTAGATACTGTAAATTTTCAATCCCGACTTCGAAATTTAGAAATGTAGAATATTCTTGATAAAATAAGAATAAGGCTTTTAAACGGAAAGAAATGTAACTTCTGAACTGTTTCGTATCCCAGTTTAGTTTTTATCTCTAGAAACAATGTATGTTAGGCCATATGTATACTGCATTTCTTCGGGGGGAAAAGGCGGAAGAACCAATGGGAAATTCAGAACTCAGAAGTCAAGAGAAACTGACGACATAGCAAAAAAAAAAAAAACACGACGAATAGACAAACAAGTTCACAAAATAGTAATTAAAAAACTTAAGACTAAACAACACAAACCCGGGCCCACCAAACAACTGGGAGTAATCTCAGGTACTCCGGAAGGTACACAGATACTGCTCCACTAGTTAGATCCGTTGTCTTACTCAGTGGTATGTACAAATTCGGTGATGAGTCTCATTCGGTGATGTCATAATTGAGGAAAAGAGGAAAGGATTGAGTAATGACAATTGGAACATATCCGTGGACATCTGTAACACATATATTATATACCTGTCAACCAACTCATGATATTACATGGAAAAATCCATTGTTGTCATTTTTGTGGCCTTCTATTTTTCGTTAAAGGGGACACATTTTTGTCTAGCATGTGGTCTTTTCTGGTGAAATCAAATCTAATATATACCATTTTTATGATTGTTTTCTGTTTTCTGACTTCATATTGGAACTTCTTAGGAGGAAAGATAAGAAGCAATATCTTTTTAACTTTACTTTCCGCTATATAGATGATGTTCTCTTACTAAATAACTCAACATTTGGTGACTTGTTTAACGCATCTATCCCATAGAACTAGAGATAAAGGATACAACAGATACAGTTAAGTCTGTCTCATATCTTGACTTACATCTAGAAATTGACAATGAAGGTCGGTTGACAAAAAAACTTTACGGCAACAGAGATGATTTCAGCTTCCCAATTGTGAACTTTCCATTTCTATGAAGCAACATTCCAGCAGCGCCTGCATACGGAGTATATATCTCCCAATTGATACGATATTCCCGGGCTTGTATTTCCTATCATGATTTACTTGATAGAGGGTTGCTGCTCACAAGGAAGCTATTAAACCAAGAGTTCCAAATGGTGAAGTTGAAATCACCCCTTCGTAAATTTTACGGACCCCATCACGAGTTGGTTGACCTTTATGGAATAACCGTTTCACAGATGATATCGGATATGTTCCTTATGTCGTAATTACAATCCACTTCCTTTTCACCACGAATGTGACCTACCGAATTAGACTTTTTACCGGATTTGTAATAACATGAACAACACGACGGGTGCCACATGTGGAGCAGGATCTGCTTACCCTTCCGGAGCACATAAGATCACCCCCAGTTTTTAGTGGGGTTCGTTTTGTTTAGTCTTTAGTTTTCTATGTTGTGTCTTGTGTATTATTATTTGTCTGTTTGTCTGTTTGTCTTTTTATTTTTTAGTCATGGCGTTGTCAGTTCATTTTCGATCTGTGAGTTTGACTGTCCCTCTGGTATCTTTCGCCCCTATTTTTTAAAGGAAGCAATCATTCTATTCATTGGCTTCAGTGAAATCTAAAATACTATCCTACTTCAAACAATCGTAACTACCAATCATCACTTATAACTTTACCGATCCTATCTAAACTACCTGATTGCACATTTGCATATTCCCTATTCATATATAATCCGACTGTTCACATTATCACTGATGACCTTTAAATTGTCACAAATGATTCTCTACAACATTTGTAAGCAAAAGAACCTAAATACAGGGAACCAAAATCCATAAACTGGAAACATTATGGACAAAACATGAAAAAGAAGACATGGATACTCTTTCCGAGTAGGTAAAGACTGTGTCAAATTTTCCATCAAGAAATTTCATTCCAGCAACGCCTGCACATGGAGTATTTCTCTCAGTTGATGCGATAGTCCAGAGCTGGCGTTTTCTACCATGGTTTTCTTTATAAAGGGTTACTACTTACAAAGGAGAAATTTCAGCAAGGGCTACCTAGTTGTAAAGTTGAAGTCATTTCTTCGATTTTTTTTACAGACGCCATTTAGATTTGGTTAAGGGTTATTGAACATTTAAGTCACATAATACCACAAATATTTTCTAATTGTAACTACAATCACGTTTTTACCTTGATTACGATATTACCGAATGCGCCTAATCACCTAATTTATACTTGCATAAGTAACACAACATGTGTCACATGTGGAGCAGGATATTTTACCCCTAGTTTTGTTTTAAAAGGGTTCGTGTTGTTGCTGTTGGTTTAGTTTTCAGTATTGTACTTTGTGCTGTTATGGGGTTATGTCAAAGAACGTCGCGTTCTTTTTCTAAAAAAGATACTAGGACCTTGTTGATAAATATTCCGTATCAACTTCACAAATAATCCATGATGGTCTTGAAGTATAGATTCTAGGTACTGACGTTGTTTATCATCTTAATTACGTGTTATAGTGTTCTTTTTATTTGTCCTTGTAAATTATTAACCTTTACTGTTCAGTCCATTTTTGGTAATATCCTTTTAGCATGGCTCGGTACTTATACATCCCGTCACTGTGTTATTGTGCAATGGTAATTTTTTGTATTCCTGTCTTTAATTTTTGCTTATGTGCTTTGTCTATATGCCATTTTGTTTTTCTTTGTTGACATATTTGTTTGTTTTTATAGTGATTAAGATTATAACACAATGTTGACTGCTGTACCCCTATTTTTGACATTTTTACCTATTATGTCTGTTTGTTTTTTTCACACATTGTTGTCAATATGATGGAATTTTATGCGACTGTCAAACAAATGAGAGATTTAGCTAGCTATAAAACCAGGTTTAATTCACCAATTTCTACATAAGGAAATGCTTGTACCATGTTAGGAATATGACAGTTGTTTTCCATTCGTTTGATGTGTTTGAGCTTTTGATTTTGCCATTTGATAAAGGACTTTCCGTTTTGAATTTTCCTTGGAGTTCGGTTTTTTTGTTATTTTACTTTTATATTATGTAATTCACAACAAAAAAGAACGTTTTTGATACAAATAATAATTTTTTCCCAACTCCTGTGCATATCTAAGATCACCTAAGAAAAAGTGTTGATTCGAAATACTAGTAAATGTAGTTTAATGTACTAGTTCTTTAAGAAGGACACGTATTGTTGTTCATGACAGACAAAAACATTGCTGAATATTTTATGAGTTTACACTTCATTCCTTTGCATAAATGGCTAATTAATAGTTCTATTAATAATTTGCAGTCAAGTATTTATACAATTAACATGATTAACGAAACTATCTTCATTTAATTCAGTTGGAGACATGCAAATAACAGTTCATTGATAGGTATTACTTTTACGGCGGCTATAGGTGAATGAACTGCTCATAAATAGTTGTGCACTTATCATTGTTGACTTCATTCGCTACTGATACGAATCATCTGTTTTTGTTTAAGAAAAACAAAATGTGACAATCTTATTGATAGTTTTCGTC